TTTGTGTGGGGAAAAACACACACACACACACACACACACACACACACACACACACACACACACACAAAACAACAACAGCAACAGCAAAAATACACTTGTCTAATAAATAGATACATAAATAAAGAAACACTATAGCCTACCAAAAGGTGTAAATTAGACTCATTTACTATAGTTTATTATAATAATAACAGCAACAACAGTGTTCATATTATTATTATTATTATTATTATTATTATTATTATTATTAAAAACAAGTAACATTTCCACTACAATGCATTCTTCTCAAGGGAAAACCAAGCACTGAATTCAAATCTGAAATAGCGAATCGTCTCCAAGAATCACGATGTCCACTGTGGTAGCCTAAATGTTAGTTTAATTCTTAGACAATAAAAATAGCAAACAAGTTAAATAAAGAAATAAACGAAAAACGGCTGCTATATTAAACATGCGCGCTCTTTATTTTCAAACGTCTTGCTATAACATGCATTAAAAGTAGTTTCGTTTAATTCAATGTTTGTGTTATTATAATCCTGTAAAGTGCGTGCTTCAGAAAATTAAGATAAAAGCAAATGCTGCTTGACTCCATTGCTATGAACAGGTAAAACAGACTTAATAAACTACTGAAAAATTAACTCGGTTGAACAAATGCAATGAAACAACAGCCTTTAATGTTGAGGAAAGGCTAAGTGTAAATTTACATTGGCCTAATGTATAAAAGAAAAAACACAAACGCCCTCTCATAATTAAAATTAGATAATTATATAATCTCAATTTAGACATTTATTACATATTTATCATATGGGCCACAATTATAACAATACAATATAAGTATTACCATCTTAGCATTGTCAATATATAGTAGGCTACCTGTCACAATCAACTGTGATTTACAATTATTGTTTTTCCTTATTAGACGATAAAACACAATATGATTGTTTTCTTAGCTTTATATTACATTTATATGTCTTGTTCAAATAGAAATTAATATCAGAACTTGCACTGTGCGCCTAAAACCAAGGAGCCGAGAGGAAGCTACAAGCTGTAAAAATAGCTCAACAGTGACACCAAGCTTCTATAATGAAAAATTCAACCAAATCAAGATTTTTTTTTAATGAATTGTGATTGCCTCTTATTGCAGAGCCTTAGACTGCCACCTAATGGTCGACAGAGGAGTCAACAAATCCAAAGTTCAACCAGCTCCAAATCATTTACTTATTTTTAATGAAATTAAATGTAAAATAACAAAAAAATTAAATAATGTAGTTATATTAATTAGTTACTTTATTTTAATTGTGTATATATAAAATAAAAAGTGATCTTCTGATTACGAGGGAAATAATAAATAGGCTACTGTTTGAAGGCGCTGAACTTTGGTTCAAAGTGACATCAATTTAACAAGTTGACCTAAAAATAAACCTTATACCCAATCATAAAAATCGATCAAAGAATTCAATCGAGAATATGAGGTAATGGGCTGGGAGATGATGATAGTCCCTTATACTTACTGAAGATATTTATTGACTGACCCATGTTTTGTGACTGGAGTCACCCATCCCTTCATAAGCTCTAGTTACATTTGTCACGGTATCACTCAGCACCTCTCGGTCAGGCTCAGTTTATACCCTTCTCACATGTGACCAATGTGGTCACCCTTGGCTAACCTAGCTGGCCAGCTTCTCATACTTTACGTGTGATTGTGTCCTATGGTGAACTGCTCTTCCCTGCATCTGTCTCTTCCCTTCATCTTCCTGTTGTTCTGTAACATCTTGGCAATGAGGCCCTTGCATCAAAATAGATCTGTGTGAAACACACCGAACTCAAACAGTATGTATATGAGCGAGGTATTTATAGATTATTCACACTAACGATGCAGTGACATCCGAGATCATGACGAGAAGCATGAGAAAGCCAAATGTATGATTTATAACTGACGATTTACGATTTACAACAAGACAAACACTGCAATAATATTACAGTAATATTAATCTCACCAAGAAATCAAAATGGACAATTCTTGTTTTTTATTGAAATATTGCAACGTTTATTATAAATGATTTATCCATGCACATCATTATTTTTTTAATCATGTTCCCTTGTAATTGTTAATTTTAAAAAAACATTAACTCTCCCCCTTCCTTCCCATCTAGCAGCAATCTGTCACTCAATAGATATGAGATCAGAGCAATTTAGCAAACAACAACTATCCAACAATCCAAATGATTCCCAGTGGACACATTGGGCCTACATTTTTTCTCTTTTGAGATGCTGTTTCACTAAGATACAATTCACAATAGGGATGGAAAGACAACGGCAAGATCCGTTCCATGCAAACTATATTTTATATTTTATTAAATGAGTCAGTGATTTGATATGAGACAGATGAAAGTTCATGAGTGGTCTGATACTCAGCATAGCAACGGACAACAGTGAATAGTCTGAAACATTAGACGACAGAATGCCACAATGGACCAGTCAAGAGTCAAATATTCCAGAATGCAGTGTAATTAACATCAATAATATATGTGTTTATTTGAACCTCTAAATTGTCTTGAACAGTTTGTTATTCCATTTTAAAAAGCCTGTTTTTTCAGTGGATTAGCTATGATTGTGTCATTGCCTACCACTGGTTGCATCTATCTATATGAAAAACAGGCTGCTTAAGTTATTTTAAAGCACCACACATTCAATCTTCCTCCGTGCTGACATGGACAAATTTACACTTAGCGTACACTTCAAAGATGGACAGATCTGCTTTATAGACATGCTTTTGCACTTAGCATGCTCTCTGTCCTCCTCAACTGTTTGTACCTGTCTTCTGTGCGTCTGCCTTGCAAATTCTAAGCATTGCTGAGAGTAATAGACAGATCTGAGAGCAGGCGAGTATTTAAGCTGCACCTGTCTCTCCTCTTCAAACTCCTGTCCTTCATGGGTCATACACAAAATATTCAAGTAAAGAGAAACAGATTATCAATTGATTTAGGCCTCTTCTGCTGACTCTCTTTTCTTGCTTATACAGTATACCTTAAATATATTTTTTTCTAGGGTATTTTAACCAACAATCATATACTGTAATATCAAACACACTTTTTATGTTTAAGGGATAGTTCACTCAAAAAAGAAAATTCATAAAAAAAATAAATTACACTCACGTTGTCCCAAACCTATATGACTTTATGTGGAACACACAAGAAGATATTTTAAAAAGTGTTTTTTTTTATTTATTATATTTTGAAGTTTTTCTTATGTATTGAAGGACCACATTTTTACTTTCTGGACAAAAACTGTTCTTTAAAATATCTTCTTTTGTCTTCCACAGTAGAAAGAATGTCAACAACATAAGTAAATGACAGCATTTTCATTTTTGGGTGAACTATCCATTTAAGTGGTTTCTTTCTACATAAAAAAAGATAGAAAGAAATTAAAAGTAACATTGTGAAATTTTAAAGTTTTAATGACTGATACACTGATATTTAGTGAATGGATTTCTAATGTAACTGTATCTTTGATGCTTATGGATCCACTTTTTTTAGAAGTAGATTTTTGCATGCATATGAAATCAAAGCAAAGCGCTTGTTCACATTCCATAGTTACAGTTATACTGAGCACGCAGGTGTCAGAAGCTCAGCCGCTAACAATGTCAGACACAGCTGTTGTTCGCTCTGCTAATGCTATAGGGTGAACCGCAATTGAACATAAATTATGCAACCGCATAAAAAATGTACCAGTCATTCATGCACCGTAAATACAGACACCAGCACCATTGCTGTTGCTGGCCAGGCTATGATTTATGTCATCAACAGGAACAAGCTGTATGCTTTACTAAGGCAGTGTACAGGTCACACATTTTTATCTTTTTGTTTGTTGTTGTTTCTTGCTCTGGGTCATTTGTCACAGTGCACAGGGTGCTGCTCTCAGAGAGAGGCTGCTTTAAGCGCCAGCGGTAAAATATAGGCCTTCGGAAATCCACTGTAAAACTATACGGAACTAATCTTTCAGCGCTGTGCAG